ATTTGACTTTAAATGGCACGTAGTTTATTTTAGAGCTTATTTAAGAATATAAATAGAATGATATGTACAGTAGTTAGTAGGATTTTTTGGGGATTTTTGATTTATCTTTTAGTTTTAGTGGATTTTATCTTTCGGGTTATTTTGTGGTTTGCTCTTAGTAGGTTTGAAACTTGCTAAGTAGCTAGAGAAATAAGTGTATTAGTATCAAAAGAGTGTCTGGGACACAACATAGAATATTTGTTTGTACTTTTGGTGCGTTGGTTCATTTCTTATTAATGTTTACAGTCCTCTGCTAAATTGGCTATGAAGATCTAAAGTCTCTCCCATGACCGTAACATTTATGGTGCCAGTTGTGTAGATTAAATAAAGCAACATTGTGTTAAAATATTAGAGTTTTAGTAGACAAATAAAATAAAAACTGTGTTATATTAGTAAGAATATATTGGAATAAACAAAGATCGTTTGGTGTCGAAAACATCTTAATACTAATCAAGTGAACAAAAGCCAGAACGGCTTGTACTAAGAAGATAATAAAATAACATACTTTGGGTCAATACTGTGATAAAGACAATAATTGGAAGATCGGATAAATGAATAAAGATCAGCTTTATTTGCAGCAAGAAAAATTATTGAAGATATTAACAAATAACGATGACAATAAAAGATAATTTAACAAATAGACAAAACAACGAACGAATTAACAAGGGAATACGATAACCTGAAATCAAGTTATTAGTAGATAAAGACCCTGAACATACAAACAGATCGATTCAAGAATAATTAACAATTTGGTAGATGTTGAATAGGATAAATAGAACGAACAAGACGAATACCTGGGGATGCCTGATAAATCAAACGAACGATAATAGGCAAGAAGGATACTCAGCACATATGCAAAGCGATGATCATCTGTTTGAGGAACCAATTTTTGGAGACAACCTTAATCCTCTGATGAACCCAACCCATGTGCAACCATCTTGGGACAAGCTTCTTGAACATATGACAAATTTAATGACAAGGTAGCAAGAAGCCCCATGTGAAGCAAAAGAACACTACTTCGTGCACATACCGTTATTCTCAGGCAACAATCAAGACCCCATAGAATTGCTAGAAGCTGTGGATAGGGCGTTTGAAGCTAATAATGTAGTAGGAAATCGAAGACTTTCAGTAATTGGCACATATTTCTTCGGGCTTGTGGCATTTTGGTGGGAAGGACAAAGAGCAAGAAGGCCGGGCCTACAATACTGAGATAACGGGTTGTATCCGGATCAGAGCTTTGTACATCAATTTTATTCAAATTTTTGTACCCATGCTTTGATAACACAATGGAATGCGGAACTATTGGCCAGAAAGCAACATGTTAGAGAAATGGTCAACCAGTATGTGATGGATTTGTTGACCTTGTTCCAACAAGTAATGAAAGTGGGTAACCAATACCTGAAAATAGTAAAAGCACAAATGTTTGTGCAAGGTCTTCATCCCAATTTGTCGATAACCCTTAGCCCGTTTATGCCAAGTACGTTGCAAGAAGCAATCGACTGAGCCCGGACATGCGAAACGACATTCGCAAGAGGCTTGGCTACGTGTGGACCTGCAGCGATTTATAATAATATGTTAGGATATTCATCTCAACCACTGTATCCACAGCAACCATAGATGTTACAAATGCAACAACAATGGATGCCCCAACTGCAGCAACAATGGATATTGCCGTCACAGCAACAATGGATGTTGCCGCCGTAGCAACAATGGATGCCCCAGCCGCAGCCATAACAAATGTTGCAACCTTTGATGTCGGCACCACTATCGGTATCAATTCAATCACCAGTGAGCTCGCCGTTGGATACGAAGCCCCAAGATTCGATGGGCCAGATGATTGCTTTGCTACAAGAAGTAGCAACAGCTGTAAAGGGCAATAATAGTAATAATAATAATAATCGCCCTGTTAGTAATGATAATTATCAGGACTGAAGTGGCCAGAGACCTACCTGTTTCTCTTGTCAACAACTGGAATACTACGCAAGAGAGTGCCCGAATGTAGTTCGACGTGGCAATGATCGAAGGACTGTCCCTCAAGCCTTGAATTTGGATAATAGAGGCCATAATGAAAATCATAATAATGCACCAGTAAATGATAGTTCGAGGACTCAGGCTATGATAGCTCAGGTCGAAGATGGGTTTGGGCGTTTAAACTAGATGACGCATCTTTTAAAAGTGAGTGTGCGTTGATATCTGAAAATCCCTTAGTACGTAAGATTGAGGAAGCCTATTTAGCCAAACGATAACGAAAGGATAATGAGAATCTTGACGAAGTCACGACCCCACCTCAAAATGAACCTGGTGATAAAACTGACCATATTAATAAAAAGCTGAAAGTTGAGAAGAAAAAAGGACGAAGCCAATTGATCCACCTATAATAACTGGAGTACAACCCTTATCGGATCTGCAAGAAAAGAAAGCTGATATAACTTACATGCAGTTATTCCAGGCTGCTCCCAGTGTTTGAATATGAAATCGAAGTTTGTCGATATTCATTTAGGCCGAACGAATAATAGATATACTACATCGATGTATTGCGAAGCCCAGGTGAATGACATGCTGATCATCTTAATCTTGGACAGTAGATCTTTGGGCTGTGTCGTCTTTGCAGGTTTCTTGAAGGAGGCTGGAATTGCAA